GCCGGTCTGGGGCGGAGGTGGGGTGAAGGCACCAGACTAGAAACCCAGGAAACTGAGTTCTAGTTCCACCTCAGACATAAAAGCTGGCTGGGTGACTTTGGGCCAGTCACACACTCTCAGCTCACCTCACCTCACAGGGTTGTTGTCGTGTTGGGGAAAATAAGAGCAAGGAGTATCAAGGCAAGTGTTCTGCCTTGAGTTATTTATAAAAATAATAAAGTTGAGATAAAAAATAATGATTAAAAAGCTCCCTTTAGGTCCCAATTCCATCTGGGGATGTGGACAATTGAACCTGGGACTTTTGCAATGCTGATGTTCAGTTTAGCTCTGACCTTTATGAAGTGAACATGACAATATACTTCCCCACACGCATCCCCTCGTCTGTCCGTTTTGTGTCGTGGACCTTTCCTTTGAATATATTCCCTCGCAGGGAATGAGGTTAAAATGCAGAACCCTGGAGCTTTGATCAGCTAGGGTTCCATTCTCTATCTTCAATAGATTTGCAGACACCCAGAGTATGTACTCTGTCACCAAATGCCACGCACCTGTATGGGGAAGAAGTTGTCATACCAACAAGATTCATATTCATCTTAATGACACAAAGAGAATAATATCTGCTTCCCTCAAATCCACACCATTCCAAGCTTATGTGCTAATATGCTCTTTTTCTTTCCCCCCAATTTTGCTTATTCTTTTGTGTTTTAGGACTGTAACTTTAAACTTCCTCTTGGTCCTACCAAAAATATTAGTCAGGAAACAATCAAGTAAGAACAGTTTTCAGATTCTTCTTTCTGACGTGTAGAATCTTAGATTATATTCTATCGGAAACTATTTTATGGTTAAAGGTTGGTTTTTTTTTAAAGACTCACACAGACCTTTAAATTTTTCCTGGTTTTTCTTTTAAGAGAAACCCTTTTTTCCCCTTAGCCACTTATTCCCATCAGAAGCAGCTTAAAAAATGCCACCAAGTATTATAAGACTTGTGATAAAATCAGCAATGTTGCTTGTGTAAAGCAAGAGCTTCTCCCTTGTCCAGAGTTGTCTACTTCCTCAGTGCAGGTGGAAAAGACTTCTCCATGCGGCAATTTGCATAAAACCAATTTCTTAAAACCCTTAATTAAAATCTTTGCAGTTTACGTTTGCCAGGTAAATTGGAAGAACAGTTTTCTCAATTGTGGGAAGCTGCTGACATCTTTCAGAGTAGGCTGTTTGGATCCTGTATCCCTGACCTTGCCCTCTCCTTTCCTTCTCCTTTGGCACAGCTCTCTTCTGTTTTCATTTCTGTTCTCTTGCTTTGCCCTCTTTATCAGCTTATGCACCCATCAGTTATCTGAGGGAATATCCTGAATGGACACGAACCCTGGCTGATGGCAAGCTTTCTTGAAAATGGAATTGTTGATTTCTGAAACTGACCGTACACAGTTCCCTTTAATTCCATTCTGAAAACCGTTTCAAGGTTCCATTCCATCCCCTTTTTGTTGGGAATTTATTTTAATTTAAAGGATATTTATTTTCATCTGGCAAGGTGTCTAAACTTTAAACCTGAAGTACAAACGTTGAATGTTGAAACATCTTGCAAAACCTCCAGGCCATTGGTCTAGAACAGCGTTTCTCAGCCTTGATAAGTTTAAGATGTGTGGACTTCAACTCCCAGAATTCCCTAGCCAGCATTCTGGGAATCGGTCCACACATTTTAATTTGCCAAGGTTGAGAAATGTTGCTCTAGACCAATGTTGCTTAATCTCACAAAGCTCTTAAAAATTAACTTAGGAGGTAACTTATGTAGAAGACAAGAGAGCACTTAATATCTTAAACAGAAAATAGCCCTACAAACTAATAGCCACGTTGAAAACTGTTAGTTCCCAGTTAAATTACGTTAGAAGATTGTATTTGTTGGAAAAAGTATTGGAAGGTTATCTTAAGAAACAAGGAGGAGGAAGAAGGAAAAGGAGAAGAGGAAGAAAGGGGAGAACGAGGAGGAGGAGGAGGAGGAGGAGGAGGAAGAAGAAGAAGAAGAAGAAGAAGAAGAAGAAGAAGAAGAAGAAGAAGAAGAAGAAGAAGAAGAAGAAGAAGAAGAAGCTTCTACTGATAAACAGGGATAAGTTATCACCTTAGGCAACTGATTGTGCATGTTCTACAACAGCTCCTTATTGCTGTAGTAATTTTTTTAATTATTATTTTTATTGCTAAAATACATTTTTATTTTTTGTCTATATATATTATTATTGTGAGATATGAATATCGAGCAATCTCAATGCTAGGGGAGGTCAACTTGCCATACATGTAAAGATTATAAATCTCCACTCTGCATCCAGACTAAATTATAGCTGTCTTCAGGAAGGATTTCATGTCACTGAATGATGGACAATTCATTCTGCCTTGTCCAAGGTGGATGTTCTAACTGGCCAAGGCTCCCTTTAGAAATAAATCTCCTTGAGCTGCCAATCCAAAGTCACCCTGTTTCCCATCCTACTCCTATAATGAATTTAATTTTTATTATTTTGATAAGAAGCAAAAAGAGGGGAGAATGTGGGGAAAACCATTACATCGGGATGTCCTCTAACATTCTGTGAAAACGGGCAGAATGGCTATAGGCTAAAAAAGCTTCTCTAGAGAAATTCCAACAGGTAAGGAAGAGGACAGGCAGCCTATGAGAGCACTGACTGGAATGCACAGTCGAGACAAGGGGACCTTTGGCAGAATCACAGGTCCTCTCTCGTATCTTCTCCAGTTGAGGCCTTGGTCCTTCCTCCCATCCTTTCAGAAAACAGTAGGTAAAGGATTAGGCCCACCCAAGAAGGGGCTTGGGAGGGTTCCTAGCAGGGTCTCCGTGTAACTGGAATACAGGCGGTCCTTGACTGACGACCACACCTGAACCCAAAATTTATGTTGCTAAGTGAGCCATTTGTTGAGTGAGTTGGGTTCCATTTTACGACCTTTCTTGACCCAATTGTTAAGTGAATCATTGCACTTGTTAAGTTAGTCGTGCGGTTGTTAGGTGACTCTGGCTTCCTCATTGACTTTGTCAGGTCAAAAAAGATGATCACAGGACACTGCAACCGTCATAAATATGGGTTGGTTGCCAAGTGTCTGAATTTGGATCACATGACTATCAGGATGCTACAACGATCGTAAGTGTGAAAAATGGTCATAGGCCACTTTTTTCAGTGCCGTTGTAACTTTAAATAAATGGAACTGCTGTAAGTCCAGGAGTACTTGTATTTTGTCAAGGTAAATATTGAAAAAAAGCTAAGCAGAGATAGATCAGATTAGCATCTGAAAGGACCATCCAGCAAGTCAAAAATGCAGGGCAAAACTACTTTCAGGATGCCTTGCCCACAAGATTTGACCTTGGCCTGGGGGCTTCGGGACCCAGACTGAGAATGAAACTCATTTCCAGTTGTACCAGAGAATGTTTTATATGCTACCCTGATCAAGGAATCCCCAGCAGTGCTTTATGTGTAGCAAGTGGGCCAGTCCTGTGCTGAGAAAATAAAAGCAAACCTTTCAGGATATTACCCTGGAAATCTTCAGAAATCAATGGAGCACATCTGTCTCCCCAGACACTCTTTCTCGGACCAGAGGGTTGAGACTTAAAACGGAGCTACTTGACAAATTGCAGCAGGAGGCTGCAGAATTAACACATTTAATTAAGCCTCTCAGGGCTCAGACCAGCAGTATATGCTGTTCAAACAAACAGGGAAGGAAAGAGCTGAGCTATCAACTTTAGCATCCTTAGGCTGGAAAGACGGTAAGAGGACGTTTTCCTTGGAGGTCTTGTGAATAGGTCAATGCGATGAGATTTCCCATCAGTATTCTCTCTTCCCCCATCAGTGAGAATTCCTGGTTAGGGCAAACACTTATCCAAAAAGGACAAAATAAATTAGAGATACAGAAATGTGCAACTCCAGGGGTCCCCAACCCCTGGTCTGTGGACTGGCCCCGTTCTGCAGCACGCCAGAAACTGCTCCACGCAAACAAGGGAAGCTCCATCTGCAGGATGCAGGCAGCATGTGACACCATGCCACCTCCGGTCCCTGGGAAAACCTCTCTCCACGGAACTGGTCCCTGGTGCCCAAAAGGTTTGGAGCCACTGTGCTACTCTTTGCGTTGACCTCAGACAAAGTGTGTGAAAAGGACCCCCACCACGGGTGCCCATCCTAACCATCCTAACCATCAGCCATGGTGGCGCACCGGTTAGAATGCAATACTGCTCATTGCCAGGAGTTTGATTCTGACGGGCTCAAAGCTGACTCAGCCTTCCATCCTTCTGAGATCGATAAAATGAGAACATAAATTGTTGGGGGCAACTTGCTGGCTCTGTAAACCCCTTAGAGAGGGCTGTAAGCACTATGAAGCGGTGTGTAAGCCTAAGTGCTATTGCTAACATCAAGCATTGAATAGAGTATCATCATCACTATCGTCAGCCATTCAGTCGTGTCTGACATCTTCCTAGCTCTTTGATGTTGTTCCCAAATGTGGAAACTAAATTAATACCCGCTGAGTCAAATATAGCTTCTGTCCTACACAGTTCTCTTTTGCTCTTCTTCCTGCCATTGTTTCAGGATATAGAATGGATGTAGTTCAGCTGCACACAGTCCTAAGCTTGAATGAAGTTGTCTCTTCAAACTTCATAGAAAAACCACGTTCCCTTTATGCTTTTTAATCCTAAAATTATGCAGTTTGGACACTGTCCAGTGTCCTTTCAATAGAGGGAGCTACCTCCTTCGGTGCCATTGGGACCATATTATAGATCATTATATAGGCTGATGCATTCCAAAAGTTGAATATGGAAAGCATAATTGAGAGCCAGTTTGATCTAGGAGTTAAGGCACCAGGCTAGAAAGCAGAAGTTCAATACCCGCTTTAGTCATTTGTAAAATAACTTGTAAAAATAATAAAGGCAGGATTCAAATAAATAAAATTAAATAATTGATATTTATTATTATTGTGTAATTGTAATCAATAATACAATTGATTAAATAATACTTGAGACTTAATAGTATACAGAACAATCAAACAATAAGCAATTATAAGGAATTCATCCCCTCCCTCCAAATATCTGAGGCTTGTAGCATATAAGCCAATCAAATCAGCAAGTTAATAGTCAATGTAGAGTAGAATAGAATAGAATAGAATAGAATAGAATAGACTAGAATAGAATAGAATAGAATAGATTAGAAATTCTTTATTGGCCAAGTGTGATTGGGCACACAAGGAATTTGTCTTGGTGCAAATACTCTTTAATACTAATACATTCAATATAACATCAGAAAGGAAGAGAATTCAAAGATGGGGAAGCAGATTACGGGAAGTGCTTCATTTCAGTAGAGCATGCAAAGATTATTCTTAAATGGGAAAAGCAGAAAAATAAATATTAAAAAATGCAACATTAAAGCTTCTTGTATTATTAAAACAGCTAGCTTTAAAAACTTTGTAGAAATGGAAGCAGTTTTATAAGAACACTGCCATGTTGGTCTGTAAAAATATTGTTAAAAATGAAATCAGAAGAACCGGGATCTCCGGAATTTGTAATGCCTTGACACCTCTCCCCAATTGGGTTTTTATGGTTTTCCAAGTCATCTGATGCCAATTAATATGTGTTATGGAAGCACCACTAATCTATTTCAGGAAGCTATCCCTGCTGGGTTTTTAAGTATTCCTTCGTTGGCCAATTACTTTCTCACTTATTTCTCTTGTTAAAAAGAAGGTTCAGCTATTTTAAAATTATCCTTTCAGGTTTTTATTATTATTATTACTCATTCCCAGGGCAAGTTTCTAATGAAGTTAGGAAATCTTATCTACAATCTTGTTAGAAAGAGCCCTTGACGGGTCTCCTATACTTCTTTCATTAAGGGAAGAAGGTAGAAGAGGTCTCTTCTCCATTTTGAGTGTGTTCGCTGTACGCCATGTTAAAACCATTCTGTGATTAATATCACCCAAATGGACACTGGCATTGCCTGAGGAGGATGAACTAACAAGAGGATCAAAGCAAATGCACAGATCCTGAATAGGTAAGTAGAATATTGAGAAAGAGATCTAATCTGTGTCTGAAATATCCCTAAATGTACAAAGAGCAAAAATGTCATGCACAGTGGCATACAATGATAACAAACCTATAGAAACAGTACCATGAATAATGAGTCACCATTAAGGCTGATGTAATTCCACAATTTTGCAGTTTCATGATGCAAATATTGTTATTTATTTAATTTCATTCCATTTGTGTACCATCTAATGTCTCAATGATTCCTGATTTATCATCCTAATAATAAATCAACAGTTAAAAACATTCATGATAAGTGAAGATCCACAAAATCAACTAAACATCTATAACATAAAAAAGTCAAATCATAATACAGGATTTGCTAAGTTTGGCTTCTGTATTCCATAGTCGAGCAGATCTAGAGACCTTATGCTTATGATCAGGACTCTAAAATTATGTGACACAGGTTGTAGTTTGATAAATACAGGATATTTTCCTGCTTGCCAATGTATTTTTATGTTTTTATTATGCAACTGTTTTGCACATTTTAATATTAGTTAACTTTGAGTATTATTTTTAGTGGGAAGGCAGCATATTTAATTTTATATTTAGTTTAATGTTAAAATGCAGTTATGCCTCAGCCCACTGATTTCAATCAGTTTATGTATTTAATACCGGGTGGTTTATGCTAGTTAGGGATTATGAGAATTGGTCCCACACATATGATAATATTAGACTATAGCCTTAAACATCTCATTCATGGTTAACAATTGCAATTAACATGCATGGGATTTCAGAAATGCATTCATGCAAGGCATACTAACAATGTAACATGTGAAATCCAGAATCCAATAGAGCAGTGTTTTTCAACCTTGGCAGCTTTAAGATGTGTGGACTTTCAACTCCCAGAATTCCCCAGCCAACTCTGAGTTGAACTCCATGTATCTTAAAGCTGCCAAGGTTGTATCCAACAAAAAGCATGGTATTGTCTGACATCCCTGTTCAAACACTACTTTCTTCTTGTGTATCAGGGCAGACACAGAGCTGAACATTATCTCTGCCAAACAAATCTGTTAGATGTAACTGTCGGAACAAATATATGATATTGGTTGCTGAACAATGATTTAGCAACACTGATCATCTGTTGCTGAAGAAAAATGATGTTTCAGTTTTGTCCTCCTGGAACAATTTGGCCAAGAGACTTCTCAGAGGGATTCATTAGCATCTCTCACCTGTATTAGACAGGCGGAGTTGACAATAAATAAGCCCTGGGGGATCCATTAAATTAAATCCAATAAATACAGAAAGTACTAAAAAGAAATTCACAAGCAAAGTTTCACCATACAAGCCTGGAGGAAAACAATCTGGTTACAAACCAGATTGACGTTCAATCATTTCACGTGAATGCATTTTTATTTGTTTAATACACTGTTCTGGCAAATGGGCAGTTACCAATACTGCAACACATGTTTTATGGGATTGAATCAGCATTATCTGAACTGTTATACAAACACATCTTCACACAAATACTGTACATTTTCAATTAACCAAGTTAGAACACAAAGAGAAAAAACCAAACTTAATATTCACGATACATTTGATTGTATTCATTAAACTTCTCATACCTTGCAGGAAACTCAAGATACCGTATTATACAAATTCTGTATTTGTGACTAATACATTCTGATTCATGGAACTGAATCTTGTGTCTTCAGTCACCGGAATGGGAAATGTTCTTGGGGCCAAAGTACCATCAAGGACTTGCAGCCAATTATTCTAAGCGCTAGGATCTCAACGGTTTGGCATATACAGGTTGCAGAAGATGGTGAGTCAGAAGCAAAAACAGGCATCCCAGGAAAACCACCGTTAAAATGAAGAGCAGGATGAAACGGCCAATGAAGAAGGTATCTACAATCTGGGAATATAACACCAAAAATCACAACTGTAGTCGAAGATCTCTTCCGCATTAGATACCATTAAATTGAAAGACTGCCACTTGTTGCATCACTCTTGGCAGGTGCTAAAGCGCCCTGTGTATTTTCCTGACAACTGAGATGAGTTGGTTGGGGACTGAGAGCAGGGCTGTTTCATTTGGGGAAAAAAAAGTGCGAAGAAGAGCAACTAAAATGATTAAAGGTCTGGAGACTAAAAACGTATGGTTGGAGAATTTGGGCTTGGCTAGTCTAGAGAAAAAAAGGACTGGGGGGACAGGATAGTATGTTCCAGTATTTGAGAGGCTGCCACAAAGAAGAGGGAGGGGGGGGTCAATTTAGTTTCAAAGGCAGGACAAGGAACAATGGATAAAAACTAACCAAGGAGAGAAGCAACCTGGAATTAAGGAGAAACTTCCTAACAGTGAGGACAATTAGCCAGTGGGACAGCTTGCCACCAGAAGCTGTGGGTGCTTCACCTGAAGGTTTTTAAGAAGAGACTGATCAGTCACTTGTCTGGAATGGTATAGGATCTCCTGCTTGAGCAGGGGGCTGGACTAGAAGACCTCCAAGGTCCCTTCCAGCTCTGATTCTATTCATTTGTGCACTTCCACAATCACCTCTTTGGGGAGGCTTACTTGATATTATTGCACTAACTTTTCTGAACCAGTGAGCTGGGCTTTTATTCTCCCCAGACTTTTAAATCCTTGGTGCCTAAATCTACTTTTAGTGACTATTATAATAGGGTGATTTTATTTTTTCGCATTGATTTTACCAATTGTTTTCTTTTGTTAAAAAACTGGTTACTAAAACACAACTGAAAGGCAGCACATAAATAAGCAAAATAGAGAAACACTATGAACAGAAGAGCATTGCTGAATATGGTCAAAAACCTATTCAGCCTGCATTCTCTTCTCACTGTTCCAGATCATATCCTATCAGGAACCCACAAGCACAAGGATGGGCAACTATGGCAACTTTGTGACCTGTGGACTTCAACTCCCAGAATTCCTGAGCCAGCAGGAAATCTGGGAGTTGAAGTCCACAGGTTGTAAAGTTGACATAGTTGCCCATCCTTGTGCAAGCAGGACGTCTCCTGGCTCCAGTTTCCCAATGACGTTTTCTTGGCCTCCTAATATTAAATTCAGTCTCATAGGTTTGGGAGAAGGTTATGCTCCTAATAGGTGGAATTTGGATTTCCTTTATATAATTTCTTTCCAACTTTTTATGGGGTTAGAAAGAAAAAAAGAAATATGCAAAAACGAATAAAGAAACCAAGAAAATATCCAAGGTGAATATAATTTCAAGACTCCTAAACTGATTTAAATACAGGCATGTTTGTGTTCTAGCTACCTTTCCCTCTGTCTGGCTTGGCCAGGTCACTCAGAACCTTGACAGTAACTATGGATAATCTAAAATATAGAATTTATATTTCATATTTCTTAACCCCTTATGATGTATTTACAAGCCAGGGCAGAGGAGGATAAAAGGAATTAAAAAAAACTTTGTCTGCACACACATGCCAATTCATGCTTCGAATATGAAACGTACGGGGTAAGATCCAATTTGCCTTTGCCCCAGCAAAGAGAGAAGCAATGCAAAAATCAACTTTTCAGCTCCTGGGCCTCCGTGACCCTCTGGGTTGACAGGAGAGGCAAGTTTCACCAAACAAGATTAATGCAAGTTTGACCTCTCCTGCCTACAGGACAAACCCCCTGTGGGTAAAATGTTTGCTCATTCAACAAGCGTTACTTTTTAATTAGCCAATTAGCACATTGTGGGTGCTGATGAAAACTCGGTGCAGGCATTATCAATATTCTATTGTGCTTAACCTCCTGCTGAAATTAACACTAGAGATACCCCAAATGAACCTGTCCCTCAGCCTACATATCCTGGTGCCCACTTTCCATTGCTATTCCTGGTTCTGAAAACCAAGGAGATGAATGAAGGGTAGAATTATTCTTGTTTCTAATAAACCAGGGGGTTCCACTTTTGCATCTTGAACTTTATCAAACACTCAGTGGTGATTGTCCTATCCCAAATATCAAAAAATAAATCTGCCAGACTTGATGGGTGTTTATTGTTTGCCAGCTTTGCTTTGCTGGCTGAGGAATTCTGGGAATTGAAGTCCACAGGTCTTAAAGTTGCCCAGGTTGGAGACCCCTGCTTCAGAAGGGAACTCCAGCTAAAGCAACGGTCTGTGTTGCACAAGTGTGCTGGTGACAGAGGTGGGCAGGAACGTGGGCAGGAAGGAGCCCTGCAAGAAGCACATCACTCTCATAATCAAGGAGGCAAGGACAGAAGAGCTTCAGAATGAGTATAGAATTCAAGAATTCGGTCTGGGAAATCTCTGGGAAAGAGGAATCAATTGCCTCTAAAGTTGATCTGAGAGACAGACACACAACTCTTAATGAAAAGTCAGAGTGCTCTGGAGGGTTACTCTAGCAGCAAGTAAAAGCCTAGAGGAATATTTGATTATTGGTGAAATCTGCTGGAAGCATCAGCTACATTAGTAAAAGTGTGATTTATTGGGGAAAGGTAGAACTATACACGGTACTAAAGAAATGATGGGGAGGGGGTAGGATGCACTCTAATACGGTAAAAGCAGATCTGCACACAGAGGAATAAAAACCAGCTCTTGAGATTAAAGAAGACAAGTTGTGTTCATCACAATTAAGGTTCATGTGAAATCCTTAATGCTCTCTGAGTTTGGTGGTTTACTTGTGGATCTTTTGCTCTCTGGCTAGATAATATTATCAGTGCTCAAAGTTTGCATCTTTAACTGCCACTAATTATGGATCTTTTTTTTTGCAAAAGATGATGGATCTTATTTATTTATTAGAATTTGTCAAACAAAATCAAGAACAAGAATAAAAGAATACAAACACAACATCAGAGACTATAGGCAAGTTAGTGCACTTATGCATGCCCCCACTAATGGTCTTATTTCTAGATTTAAAAAGTTTTTTTTTTCAAAATCTGAAGCTCAAGACAGTTAAGATCTTTTCAGTGTGGAAGATTTCTTTTTTAAGAAAAACTATAATAAAACATCCATTTCCCTATTGTAGGATTAGTTGTCTAAGCCTATGAGAGGCAAGTCTTTAGCTTGTATGGCAGGTATTTGAGTGTCTATAAAATAAATAGCAATGGCTTGAGCTATGAAAAAAAAAGAATTCACTAAGGGTAATTTTCATAACTTGTTGCAAAGAGCACTGGCTTTGAAGAAGTTAAAGCAAAACTTATATTGGCTGACCCTACTAATAAACAGCAGCCGTAATAGCTAATGAAATTTTTATATTCAACTGAGTGCCAACTATTAGTAAGTAAATATAACACAAAGTCATTACTTGTTATTAGTCTGATCCTCACCAGATTTATAAGGAAATTGTATGAATCCAAATCAAAGCTTTAGAATGCAAATGTAATTTGTGTGGACCTGTTGAAGAATGTTTTCATCAAAACAAGAAAAGAGCTGAAGCATAAATGAGATAGTATCTCCAAAAGTTTAACAAGCAGTTATAATTGAAGTTTCCTTTTTAAGATACAACGGACTCTTAGAAAAGCAAAGCACTCTGTATCTAATGGGGGGGGGGGGGGGGATTCTATGAGTAACACAACATAGAATGCAAGTTCCCTTTGCAAACAAACCTTAGTGTAAAAGCAGTTTCTCTCACTTAATAAGGTGAGCAAGCTTTATTTTTTGAGACTCCTCTTTCCAGTTTAAATATTTAGTTTTTATAGCTGATTTTTTCATGCCTGGGGATAAAGAGCCATTTAGTTTCTGATTTTAATTTCATTTTCCTGTTGCCCAGGTGCCTCTTACTGCATTTTTTATTTCTTTAGATAAGAAACAGCACAAGCTTCTCAAATGCAAAATTCATTTGGCAAGTCTTTGTAATTAATGGGAGTCCTCTATTGCCTGCTTCTGATCACAGAACAGGAATTCAAACAACTAAATCAGGCAGCTTGGTCTTTCAGTTAAACTGAAGATAAACAACCTTCATTTTTAACATCAGATTTCTAGATTTTCAGGCAAACCAAAGAAGTTACTTCAAGTATTTTTGATTTTGCTCAAACAACTCATTATGAGAGGCTGCTTCATTTTTCTTCTTTACTGCCAGATACTTGCTTCAAAATAGGATCCTATCCTTGAGCCCTTAGCCTATCGTAAATTCAATCTGATCCAAAGTATCCACCCACTCTTCATTGGGGTCTTTGATACCCAACTGCCAAGCCTGCCCAGAGCTTCTAATAATTTGGGGCAGCACTAGCATTCTAACTCTGGTTCTTACTGTCATCACCTCCAGCAATGCTTCCCTTGTTCTGGCAGCGGTTGAGAAACAGGCAATTAACTCTCTGCTTGGGGTGATGCATTTCATTGAGACTATACTTAGCCCATGTGCTCAATCAGCTCAAAGACTGTGTTTGTCTTGGTTTCATCAACAGCCGAGACAGAACACGTTGATTTGCAGATGCTTTTACCTTGATTTCTGTAACTGGTGCGGGCAACTTGCCGGCTCGAGGAAAAAGCAACAAGGTTAAAGTGATGATCACAGCAGCAAAGAAAACCAGAATGACTGAAAACCTAGAGAAATATAAAGTTAATGCAGAAATCATCACAATATTTGAATACTAGTATCTTTTACTTGGTGTATAATCTAAGTTAGTTCTTACTCATAAGCCAAACATTAGATGTACAGGTCAAAATTTCCACTGTTAAGCAAGGCAGTTGTTAAATGATTTTTTGTCCCATATTATGACCTTTTGGCAGCAGTTAAGCGAATCACTGCAAATCACTGCAGTTGTTAAGTGAATCATGAGATTATTAAGCAAATTTGGCTTCCTCCACTGACTTTGCTTGTTGGAAACTAACTGGGAAAGTTACAATGGTGATCATATGACCTTAGAACAGTGCAACTGTTATAAATATATGACAGTTGCCAAACACATTTTGATCGTGTGACCATGAGGATGCTGTAACGGTAGTAGGTTTGAAAACTAGTCATAAGTCACTTTTTTCAGTGCTGTTGGAATTTGGGTCACCAAACGGATGATTTTAAGTCGAGGCATCCCTGTATGTCTTTACTTCTTTTGATTAAAAAGAAGGTAAACTCTGGGGTTCCCTTCTCTTCCCCTACCAGCCATGACATAACATCTTCTGTGAACCCTCAAATTACATTAGTAAGCGGAACATGGGCTATCAAGTCCAGGAAGGGAAAGTGCCAGGCATCAGATTATAAAATGATAATCTAACATTTAATTACACATTCTCATATTTATTATGCTTCTAATCAGCTTAATTACTGAAATTTGTAACTCTGAATTGATTTGGGGAGGATCCGTCTTTATGTCAGGGTAATCTAGAAAATGAATTGTCATGTCTTATATTAAGTAATAACATATCTGACAATTTTCATTTGATGCAACTTTTCAGAGTACCTTTTAATTAATTTCTCTGCAAAATCACATTACTTTTTGACAACAAAGTGCAAAAAAATTTCAAAGATTTCTTATGCTTTCATCCAAACAATATTAAAGTGATGTACATTAAACTTCTGGTTTTGAAAAAGGAACACGTGGTTCTTTAAAGTTTAGTAGTCACCTTCAGCACTACAAGAAGTAATTGATTCAACTAGTTCCTAATCTTGTATACTATGAAATACTTAGAGCAACCATAAACAGCTCTAGTTTGGCTCTCTGTTACTGAAATGCTAAATATGCATAAGCAATGCCAGAATGCTCCATTCACTTGAGAAATATTGACCTATTATTGAACAACTGCTTATTACAAGCTCTTTACTCTCATTGGAATAGCCTCTCCAGATAGTCAGAGAATATTGTTCACTAGCAAGTAAGAATGAGGGAAAAAGTTGAAAGTGGGGATTGCTATATAGCTACAGCACAGAGCGAAGATATTTGAAACTGTATAAAAGCTTTGCTACTTCAAAGAAAGCTTTACATATGATACTAATACAAAGAAACAATGCCAGATACAATTAAGAAAATGCACAGAGGACAACAGGAGCATTAATGAGAAACAGCAGGTGCCCAATAAGAGAAGTGATTCTGTTGAAAGGATTGAATCACCTTTATACCCAGTTCAGGAGGTCAATAGTTAACATGATCAAGTGGGATCATTCCACTGGTCCAGAAACTTGCACCTGCAGTGAGGCAGGCTGTGTAAAATGTCCTTGTTGGGACCAGGCAGTCTTTCATAGCAGCATTTTTCTACGGCCAACATAAGAGCATAGAAATATGCTCAACAGTGGAAAGAAACAGAACCTGGTAAATGAGTAGAATAAATGCCAGGGAGGCTTCCTGGAGACTGGATCATATTCTGCATATCTAAGAGCTACTGCCCTGACAGGTAAACATGAACATGTATCAACATTAGGAAATTTACAGAGCTAACACTCCAGAGAATTGAATGATCTAATTTAAAAAACCACCCCATTGCTGCTCAGGTTACCAGCGTTCATCACCATGAAAAGTCTTTTTTAACATCTCTTTTGTATTATATAACGTTAGGATAATTCAGGTTAAGAATCTCCAACATTTGCACAAAAATCTCCTGCTTTCTCAAGCTTTGCCTGAAATTCATTCGAAGAGCAGCTTCCCCTCCATTTATTTTGCCAGGAATAGAGAGATCTTACCTAGCAAATCCAGAAGCTCTGGATAACAACATGCACAGCAGTAAAGTCAAGACCCAGACCACTGCCAAGATGAATACTCCAGGCCCAACTCCAAGTATTGTACCAGTCATCCTTTTCTCTGAAAGGTCAAGAAAAATGAAAGGGAGCTTCTTAAACCCTGTTATTTTTATTTATAATGAATTTAAATGGTCATTTCTTTTTCCATCTGCCTCAACACCCCTCTGTTTTCCAGGCAACCATGGAGGGAAATAAACCAACAGATTTTTTTTCTTGTTGCTTCGTTTACTTAAATGCTGAGAATTAAAAAGAATTAAAATCAAATGAATCGTTGTAAATCTAGCAGACAGAGAGACTGTCCTGGTCAAAGCTTCCCGGTGGAATTCCTGCCTGCCTTAAAGCAAACTAAAAACATTTTTTTTAAAGTTAAGGATCCGGCCACGAGACAGAAATAATATCAATTAGAAAAAAACAAAAATAAACGTGGCCTTCCACGCGTGACGGTACCTACCCCAAAACTCCTTGCCTTCCGAAAACGTGTAATTTTAACCAATCCCGGGGAAGCTCTGAACGAGATACTTCGCGGGAGAGCCAATAAGCGTTGGTCTTGCTTTTCCACTGTCGGGTCAGATTGGCGGTTGCTCGGGGCAACCCGAAGCCTCGCGGAGAAGCAGGCGGAGAGAGTGTGAGAGCGTCGCCCGTCTGCCTACGGATTGGTTCAGAGGAGGCACCAATCGCCTTCGCCCGTTCGGCGTGACGTCATCGCCTTTTCTCCCTCTAAATGTGGCGTTGTGATCTTTTGGGAGTCTGGGCCGAAAATCACTTTGCAGGATTTCTAATGTGGATCAAATGTTCGCCCTTCGCCTTTTTTTCCCCCTCTTTAATAAGCAAAGTTATTTACAGTATAAACTTAGGTCTTTCTTTGCCCATTTTTTTTGCTCACCTGGTTGAAGAAACAGAAAGGAGCACAATTTAATGGCATTGAAATAGGTGCTAATTTAACACTCAGGATTAGCTAAACACCATCACCACCAAATCCTGGCAAGTCAAAATGAAGCACCTGCAAGAATAGGCTTCAATAACAGAAATAACAAAAAGAACAGCTCTCTCTTTTTCCAATTTGAGCAGATGTTATCTGTTACGGTGTTTAATAAACCAGAATACAAAATCAGCAACATGAATAGGTGGTTGCGCCCAGCCAGATTTGGAAAACAGATTCTCGTTTTTGGGGAGGACTTTGTTAAATACTTCTACTAATTGGGATCGTTCTTCAATTATTTTTTCACCCCACTTTGGCAAGAACTTGCTTGTGCGGGTGTGTGCATGTGTTAAAAATGTTATAAGAGGAAAACATCTCACACTTGTTTTGCTTTCTTATTTGCAACATTAGGGAACATCTAAAATAGAAACACTTGTAATATCAATTTGAGAAAATTGCCATCTGTCCTTTCATTTCCCAGATATGTGTAAGGAATTGCTATTCTTCTGGTTTGTTTTAAATTTCGTTGGAATATGTTTAAATAATACCAGATCACAGGAGTTGCTTGTATTCTGTATATTAGGAGCCAACAACATTTTGAACATCAGGAACTGGTTCCACGGTGCCAGGTTTATCTGTGGACCAGAGGGGGGTGTGGTTTCATGTGCTGCCTGCATCCCATGGATGGGGCTGTGCTTGTTTGCGTGGCCTGGTTTCTGGCGTGCTATAGACCAGTGCCAGTCCACAGACTGGGGGTTGAGGACCCCTGCTCTATATCATCTCCAGGCCTTCTCAAAATGGAAGGAATTCACTTTCTCCTTTTTGCATTTATCAATTGCTTGTTAATCAAATGGGAAATATATGCTACTTTTACTAAAGGGTTACAACTGTGGAAGAACGGAATGAGACTTCTTGGAAGAACCTGGGACCAGCCATTTAGGAAATGCTGGACTAAATAGAACTTTGATACAGTACAGATGAATGTCAGAGCCAATGGCAGCATAGAAATGGAAGGCATGGAACATGGGTTGTTGAATCATTAGGATCAGTATTTTAGCAGTTGCAATCCAGCAGGTGAACATAGATTTACTTCATATGTAATGAACTAAAATGTAGTGATAATCTTTTATGCCCACTAAATACCCTCTGATCCTTGGGCAGATTAAACCATAGTGCAATAAAACACCATCATTGTATGGATAAAAGCAATAACATTTATTACAACAAAGCAACAGATGAAAATTGCAATGAAACCCACAACAGCCAATAAAACAAATGTGTTGCTCAGAGTTTAGGGTGCTAATGCTGAAGAGGGCCTTTATTCTCCAATTTATTCATTTTCCTAGGATGCTTGGAAATGTCCTCAAATGAATATCTCTGAATGTATAGGTAAATAAATGTCTGAAATGGTACAGGGTTTCCTGCCTCAGCAGGGAGTCGGACTAGAAGGTCCCTTCCAACTTTATTATTCTATATTAGCAAGTTGAAATGTGTTTTTTGTCACTTCATTGTTGCTTGGTTGTTTTCAGGCAAATCACTTCAGCCATCAAATGGACTTTCTAAAGATAATTGTATCTAAACCTGTTTAGAGCTTTCTCAGTAATACCAAAGATGTATGATAAAATTGAGGAACCCTTTTTCACACTCCAAATCTTGAAATGAAGATATTTCTTCTTTCACCCAAATTACAGCAAAGAAGAACACAGGAGAGGAAAAGAATCTGAGAAATTTGTAAAAGCATTTCAGCTATGAAGTAGAACTCATTATACATTCCAGATTAGCAACTTCCTTCCTGAGTGATCACTTAAGAGTGAAAACATTCTACCGATAAACTTTCCCATTAATGCAGCTTTCCTCTTGATTTGCCTGCCAAAATTATTGGAACCTAAGCTGATAAAGCACCTCATATTTAGAGGATGGGACTGTAGTTCAAAGGTAGATCAGATCTGTATACAGAAATTCACAAGCCCTTGCTATTTCTGACCCAAAAAAGCTCAAGCAACAGATGATTGGATTGACCTTTGAAGAACCAATGTCTTGAAACTGAAACAACAGCTAGCTAGAAAGCAAACAATCTGATCCAACATATAATAACCTCCTGATGCCTTCCTTAAATTGCAAAATAAATAATTTGTTGTATCTGTTTTCCCCCATCTTCACAGTCACGGTCATAGTTCGACTGTTGGTGTCAAAACTTTGAAAGTTAGTATATATCATTGAAACATAGTCAATAAAGAGAATGGGTAGAGAACCTGGGCATAAAAAATACATCCCCTACACTTAAAGCCTGCCTATGGCTGAAAGGATAGAGAGCCAAGTGCTTGTGTGTAGAGCGGAATATTGGGAGATGCAAGCAGAATTCATCATGATGATGAGGTCCCCATAATTAGGTCTAGGTGCATCTCCCTAAGAGAGATTCTGTGTTGAAAATTGTTCCTTGACAATTCTACCACAATAAAAAGTCTGTGTAAGAACCTGGCATTTTATAGTTTGTAAGAAGCACACACAGATTGTTTAAATATGTTTGAATTTCAGGATTAAGACTGAGTTGCAGTTTTATTTTTCTTAAGTCTGAGATTGTTTTGTACAGTGACAATGTATGATTTGAATTTATTTTTTCCAATATTTCGTGAAGTCTCCAGGGACATTTTGGTGTATTTGGAAGCTGTCTTATGTCGTGTTTTATGCATGTTAAGCCATGGCATGTTGCATCAACCACAAACGGCGGTTAAATGGCACATCCAAAAATCCCTGATCTCAAACTACATTGACAATGAACAACACCAGTTTGATTGGGAAGGAACAAAAATCATTGGCCATACCAACACCCACCACAAACATGAATTTATCAAAATGTGGTATTCTCCCAAAGGAGCAATTAGCAAGCATATGGATTTAGATTCAGCATATGAATCAGTAAGAAACCCGACTATTGAATGACCAATCAACAAGAGAACCAATCAGCTGCTCAGAATTTAAATGTAGCTCCAAATGAACAACCAATCACATGATCAACTGACCAAACTGGCACACAAGGCATATATAAGCTAAAGAGAAATAGAACAAGAATATCCTGCTGATGATGTTACCTAGTCTGATCACAAAACATTCAGAAACTAAATTGATACAAGCTTGGAGAGCAAGCCTCTGCCAAAATCTAAAACCTGAGCTACAGGTATTTTCTATTATTTCAAAACTACATCTTAGTTCAAAATCTTAGCCAATCCAACCAGGAGTATTAATCTTTGTTGCTTCTCTTGCTGCAAATTACATTGGTATCTAGCACACACATATACAGCCCCTACTCTGAGATATAGGAGCAGGATATACTGTATGCCGTGACGATGATGGTGATCTCCCATTCTTGCTTTAACAGAGCACAACCATTACATAATCATACTTCCATTCTCTTCCCATTAACTTGCTTCCTCATCTGCCTACCATCCTCTGAATTTGGTGCAGTGGAAGTAAAATAGACTCCTTCTAGATCTGGATGATTTACTTAATCTAAAACTGCCAAATATCCATTTAACTATGAACAATTTATCCTCCCCACTGGGTGAATTTGCCAGTACTTCATAAGAAATGCCCTGAGGGACTGACTGCCTCATAAATGCTAATATTAAGACAGCTTCAAGAATAAGTCTTTACTTTGTGAAAATGAAAGATTATTTTGACCTTTTTCAAATTTACACAGGCAATGTATTTCTCTGTTGGGTAGATAGTTCTTTTAATTTAAAATTCTATTCCCTAAAATGAAGGATATCAAGTTTCCGAGTATCAGATCTGGAGATTTTTACTGCAGTTTTCTGAAAACCAACCCTCTTATCATCACCTCTCACTACAATAAGAACCTTGCCTGTACAACTGAATGAGGAACCAAGCTCCCTATTACAGGGTAAATAGATAAGACCCATCTCTAAAATCCTCAAATTGTCTTGTGACAGCAGTTTCAGACAGTAAGGAAAATGGCCTTGATGGAAGCTCCGTTACCAAAGCAATGAGGACTAAGAAATATCTAAGTCCATAACAGGAAGATAGTAGCAATCACAAAAGCAGCTCAGACAAACTGTTCCCTTTACAGGAGTATAAGAAAGGGCAGGAGGTACAGAATACATTAAACTTAGAAGATTCTGATATTATAACTAATCTCAGTAAAAGTAGTTTTAGTCTTTTTTGTGGAATTGGTTTTTTGGTTTGGTTTATCTATGGGGCTGACAAAAGTAGTTGTGAAGAGGAAGCCATCTATGGGTATAGTGTGATTATCTATAATGTGGAGACTTTGCAACTATGCAGTGATTTTCATATGATCCTGGATATATGTAATAATCATGCTGTATTCTTGCAGAACCATCCAACGTATTGACTCAGAACAGATCTGTTCCCTGCTGTCAGGCTGTGCTCAATAAAGAAAGCTATCAGGACAAGGCTACTGATACACAGATAGTTCTTCAAAGTGATCTGCATGTTTAATTTTTATTAAAATGAGAACACCAAGAATGTTTAGCCTTGACAAAAAATATGATGTGGAGGAGCACAGAGATGGCCTTAAGAAGAAATGCAAGC